CTTTACTGAGAGTGGTGTGTTGAAGTCTCCTACTATTATTGTGGAACTGTCAATTTCTCTTTTCAGTGTTGTTCGAGTTTATGTATCTTGGAGCCCTGTCATTGGGTGCTCATGAATACTTTTAACCCTTCAACTCCTTCCTTGCCTTTGCACATTTTTTGTCCTGAACCAACTGCGTGAAGGAACCTGCATTTGTGCGCTCCTCCTCTCCACCAGAACTGTGCTCACCTTTCCACATACACATCATCATCTCCCGTCCTTACAAGCCTGTAGGGTATTAATAGCTGCTTTTCCTATAATGAGGAAACCAAGGCTCAGGGAGGTTAAGGGCTCTATGACAGAGCACTGGTTGGAACCAGGTCTGACGAAGCCCACTTTACTGGTGTAGCTACAGAGGAATTAACTATGAGAACACTTATAATTATTTTTATTGTGCTTTAGGTGAAAGTTTACACTGCAAATTAGTAACATCTTTATTTTTTAAAAAGCACTGTGACTTGTCATTTTATTTAGATGGCATAATTCTAAAACTAAGTATGTAAGCTAAGCATTACATGTGCTTCTATAACATACTCTCACATTTTTTCAATAATCTACTTTTCTTAAATTTGAGGAGCCCTGGTGGCACAGTGGTTAAGGCTGGGCTGCTAACTGAAAGGTTGGCGGTTCAAACCCACCAGTCGCTCTGTGGGAGAAAGATGTGGTAGTCTGCTTCCATAAAGATTTACAGCCTTGGAAACCCTATGGGCAGTTCTACTCTGTCCTACAGGGTCGCTGAGTTGAAATCAACTCCAAGGCAATGGGTTTTATTTTTAACGTAAATTCAGTCATTGCCTCTCCCGAAGAGAATAAAACTAGGTCTTGTCTTTGAACCTGAAATAAACTTAAGTTTTTTACCCTCAAAGTTACCATAGGGGTACTTTTTGAGGACCAAACAGTACTGTGCAAATGTTATTAAGATCACCTTGTGGTAATTAACAATTTTTTTGAATAGATAATACTTCCATGTCATCCGGACTAAAAAATTGGAAATACATATTTTTAAATGTAATATATATTTTAACTATGCATATACACACATATACATACAAATGTGCAATGAGGTTTCCCTTTTACCTATCCCTCAGCCACCATTACCTGTCCTCACACACAGTTACTAGTTTCTTGGTTTATCCTTCCAGTTATTTTATGCACACACTTAAATACACGTTAATACACTGTCTTTTCCCCCTTTTTCACACAACCACTTGGTAATACTTAAAACAGAACAACACGTTTTTGATAAAATTTTAATACAACCAGTCATGTAATGGTTAAAAGACATTTTATTAGATACAATTTTTTAAAAATTAAAACTATGCAAGAAATATATTTAAACAAAACATGTATTAATGTGCTACAGCTGAATTGAGAACAATGAAATATACAGCCCCTTCTCCCCCCACTGTGGAGACTCTGGAGCCTTTAGCTGAAAGCAAACGACATTTGGCCATCCCAGGCCTGTACTAGCTGTAAAACAGATTATACTTTCGTTCAACTCTGTAATTGTGTTGTCTTAGATAGCTCCAGAAACTCAACAAAAATTTGAATATTCTGCAAAGAAAGAAACCCGTGGGGAGAGTTTATGGGGGAGGGGAGAGGAAGAACTTTTTAAAAGCAAGTTAAATGAAAAAGTCACCCCCCCGCCCCAAGAAAAAAATAGTACACAAGAATGTAACAAAAATAAGTAGATGTAATTTTTTAATATCAGACGTAGCTATTGCAAATGATGTTTACAAGGGTTTAATCAATGTAAGATAGATGTTGATCTGAGTATCTTAAAAAGCACCTTGGTATTAAAAAAAAAAAAAGAACTCCAAACACCCCACAACCTTGCTTAACATTTTCATTCTGCAACGTGGCCGGTGCTCATCAGAAGGTTTAAGAAGTTTACTTATTCTACCGGAAACAAACATGAAACTTAATGTAAGATAAGCCTTAGCTAAAATGAAAAGGCTGAAGTAGTGCTAGAGAGCTTAAGGCACAAACAAATTCAGGTGCAGTTATTTTGAAAATATTAAAACAAAAATTATTTTCTTTGGAACAACATAAGTTATGACTTGCTATTTTTTAAAAAATTATTTATGATGATCATCTTTAGCACTAAGTAAATTTAATATCTAATGCAAGACAGAAATGTAAAGCATTTATATAAAAACATTTAAAAATATCTGACGAATGTTGGAAAAGGAGAACTACTCTCCTAAATATCTCTGGAATTATGAATTCACACTCCTGGCTCAAGTGGTTTCTGGTGCCTAGTATTAGCTGTGACGATAAGTTGAGCTAGTTAGTCAAACCTACTGCCTTGGAAGTCAACCAAATTGCCCCATTCTGGTTCCTTGGTAGGATGAATTTATTTAACAAAAAATAACAGGGTGAGGTGATGTAAACCTGGCTTTCAATATAACGAACGACAGATTCTAATAAGGCCAAAATTATGTTGAGGTTAATTGGTGTCTTGAGTTCACTAAAATAAAGGCAGTCCATAGGAAGCCTTTAAGAGGGATTATCTTATTACCTGGCGACACAGGAATAGCAGCCATCTCTCCTCTCGGAAAATACAGTCTGGAGTAGATGTCTTTTCCACACAGAAATCTCAAGACACAAAAGACACACACAAACAATTCAACCTCTCTCTTTTCATGTATGGGTTCTCACAGCAATTTTTTTTTTAATCTATTGCCATATCCAGACAACAACAACAACAAAAAACAAACCTGGTTTGCACGTTGACAAAAGTAGTGTAATTGAACCTTTGTCTTTCCTGAGTTTCAAAAAGGGTATTTGACAGTAGAGATACATAATAAACAATTCATATTCACTAAGAGAAAAACTGTTCGTTCACAAAACATTTTCATCTTTCTAAATACAAAAGAATGAATGTTTAACCACTGCCGTGTGTGAAGCCCCTTTACCAATCAAATTTACTCTAGAAAAATAAACTGAAGACTATTCCATTATGGCACTTTAACCACCCCAAATTGGAGAAAAGGGACAAGTTAAATCCCTCCCTGAGTATTTACATTGTCTTAACACCTGGTTTAAATGGAGTAAATACCTATATTTCAATCACCTAGAAAAGGTTACTGAAGACCCAATAGGCCACCATTTCATACCTGTGGAGTAAAGTCAGTGGAAGGATTAGAGTACAAAAGGAGGAAGGTCTTTGTTGTAAAAATTAGGCCACTTCACAGCTCACTCACGTATTGGAAAACATGGAAAAGGGCTAAAGTCATAAAAAACAAACTCTACTCATTTGTTCATCCGTGAAAATAGACTCTTGAGTCCCCTTTCCCCTTGAGGTATCACAGACGGGTTTGGTACACTCATCTCTACCTCCAATTTGTTTTCTGAGCTTGTAAAAATGGGTACGTTATACAGATCCTTACTGTAAATAAGTGATCATACTAATACTCATCATGTACTTTCCAATGTAAAAAAGAATTCTAGAAATGTCCAAAAGAGAAAAATCTTCTGGAATTGAATATGGTCAACTAATTTTTACTTTATGTGCTTTTTCTGATCATCACAAACTGCTATATGTGTGTACATGACCATACTATCTACCTACATATATACACATGCATATAAATACATACTAACCCTAAAGGCTCATATGAGCACCATCTATTAAAAGATAATATGTTAACTATGTGATGACTGTATGAATATAAACTGATACCAATTTGGTTGCTAATCTCTTTTGATATACTAATCATACCCTAAAATTATTTTTTATGTTATCAATGCTAACAACATTATTTTATCAAGCATCAGTAAACAAAGATAAGTAAGGAAAATTAAAATATCAGTTGGGTAACTTTAAAAATAGTCACTTTAATTTTCTAGGATTTAAACTAGATTCTTGGTGTTCTTCAACATAAATTCCAACTACATATGTAGTTAAAAATTATGTAGAGAAGAAAATGAAACATTATCAGTATGAAGTCTGTGTTTATACAAATTCTGTTTTTTAGGATTTCATTTCAAATTTACTACAATGAACACATGGATATTAAGAATGAATCTATAACAAACTACAAGTAAATAGTCAACACTTTTACAATACACAGAAATACTAGAATACAAAGTTATCTTGAGAAAGTATTTTTTTATGTAAAGTGTCTGGATTTACGGATGGGCATGATCTTACCCATGAAAATAACAACCATCATTTGTATAGTCCTCAGCATTTACAAAACACTGTCTCATACATTATCTCATTTACTGTAAAAGAATTCCAGAGCTAAAATTCAGGTTCCATTTTCTACAAAAGATATAATGCCGAATAGGATGTTCACTCTGAAATGAAAGCACAGTATCCCAACTGAACCCATAATTGTCTTTCAACTAAAATGATAAAGAAGTTTTCTGAATTCTCTAATCATCACAAAAAGGTATATATCATTTTCAAATTATGATTTGAAAAAGAAAAATTCCCTAAAATTTTTTTAACTGTTTTAGTTCTCCTCAGGATTTAGATTCTAGCCAAGCATTAAAGTTGATGCTGTATAGTCTATTTGAAATGTCTGTTATCTTCTTAAATGAGGAAAAAAAGTTCACCAGCGCTAGGGTTCCGATCACCACCTTGGTGTTAACAGAAATCAGGTGACGCTATAATCACATATCTGCATCACCCTTCCTATGACACGGAGTACAAAACTATGATGCCAGATGACAACACTGTCTGGGAAGTCAAATTTAGCAGGCTACTTGGGACATCCCCAAAACACTATGAATTGTATCTGTCCACCCAGGAATCACAATAGTCACTCATGCTGTAGTTCCTTCTAAATTCATTTGCCTTTGGAAAAAAAATTCACATTCTTCTCTGAAAAACTGGTTAGTTTTATAAGCTGGAGTTCAAAAATTTAGACAAAAGTAATTTGTTGTTTAGAAGCTTGAAAATGTTGATCACAATGTTACAGTGGGTACCAAATAAAAGATTTATCTTAGAAGACTGGAATTACTGCTGTTAGTTTTTTCAGATAGATAATTTAAAAAGAAAAATGGACCCACTAAGCTAGATGGTCCCTGCTTTATCCTATCAAAGGCATTTTAATAGTGGAGACTCCCAGGATTTTTAACTGGCCACAAGAAAGTTGGATAACCACAGGAAGAAGTCTTCACCCAAAGTACCATACTACTGAGGTCAAACCCTACTGGGCTAGAGGAGAAACCTTGCCCCTGCTTTTCTTAATAACGCAAAATGGGGTTCAATGCCTTTGCCTGGTTCACGAAAAGGGGGATTTAGAGATGATGCATAAATACTTTGAGAGCAATGGTGAATTTTCCCTTCAATAGTTCTAAATATTTTTTCCTTAGGAATGAATACGTGAATTTAATCCCCCTTTTAGGGACACTTGCTCTTGTATCTCCTACCCAGCCCCCGCCCCCGCACCTCAATGTTTAATATAAGGCTGCAATTCTAGAAATGAAGTCATGATAATTTAGTATTTTATGATAGTCAAATGGCTGTCATCAAATTTTTATAATTACAGAGAAAACACCTTCAAAAATTAATCAGCTTGGATACATTTTTAGTGAAAAAGTTTTTTTTACAATTTTTTTCCCCTTGGTACACACACTAGGCATTCTAAGCATTAGGTGATTCAACCTACATGAAGCCTCAGGTTGCCATTTTCTCTACACATCTGACGAAATGAAGAAAACAGCCTTGCAGAGAACACACGTAAAGGAAGAGGGCGTTCACAAATCCCTAAAGGGTATGCAAGCAGCTAATATTTCCTATTCCACACAGGCTTTTTACAAACACTCACAAAGGTACACTCTCACAGGCCAAGCAACAACCACCATTACCTTTAACAAAAACGTTTGTTTTTCATTACAGGAAAGGCTTCATTTACAGTTTGAAAGATTGGTATTTTGGAGAGAAAGGCACCACGATGATTATTTTTACTTTTTTTGCATACGGCACAAAGGAAGCATGTCGAGTTCCCACTGGAGTTTTTGAACCTCTCATCTTGGGCTGGTGTGGCTTCTTGGGTGAGGTATCGTGGCTTTAGAGCTTAAAGCACTTCTCATTGTATCTATGAATTGTCACACAGCCGTGATAGGACACTGGCCTGGGCATGGCAGCCACCCCTGTGATGATGCTTGTTGCAGGATCATAACAGAGAATGGTGTCTGTGGCTTCTCCATTCTCCCGTCTTCCGCCCAGGATATATATTTTACCATTACATACAGACATACCACAGTTTTCCTGTTTAACCAAATACATTAAAAAAAAAAAAAAAAATTAACTGTTGAAGATAAACAATTTGGTAGCAAACTGAAAAGTAAAAAAATGACATGCTTTAGCACGGTCTAGGAGAAATGAAATAAGCACCCTTCTGCCCAACTCCTATTCTATGTGCGAGGCTGGATAATTTTGCATGGGTAAGGTGAGAATTAAAATAGATTATATTTTATAATCGGGGTTGAGATGTGAGAGAGGGGGTGGGGGTAGGGGTGGTGGATTCAAAGAAGGGTTTTAACTTAATGGTAGCAAAAAACACCACTGCCCTAGAGTCACTTCTGATTCATAGCGACCCTATGGGACAGAGTAGAACTGTCCCATAGGGTTTCGAAGGCTGTAAATCTTTATGGAACCAGACTGCCACATCTTTCTCTTGCAGAGCAGTGGATGGGTTCAAACCACCAATGTTTCGGTCACAGCCGAGTGCTTTAACCACTGTGCCACTCGAGCTCCAACTTAACGATAGTTGAACAAAAACATCTTTGAAGGGGCTTGACTTGCTTTTTCTACTGCAGGCAGATCCTTTATTTCAGAACATTATTCACTGTATGGGGTCACTCTCAAACTGAATGAATGAATGAACGAGAGGAAGAGTTACAACCAAAGTAACAAAGCACTGTTATTATGGGCCTTGGCTGGGACATAGAAATGTCCCAAATAATATTTTGCAGTTCACCTTCCACACAACCAGATTCTTTGCTAAACTTTACTATTCTCAGACAGTAATATAATTACAATATAAAACAAACATTCTTGTGCAAAGATGAGAGTGAATCTTTAAAGAAAGAAACTGCTAAGAACTGTCTAGAACATGGATGTGGTTATGCTGTGGGTCAAATATCTCTCCATTTACATTTCACAATAATTCAGAAAGGTTCGTATCCAGATCTCATATAACCAAGATGAAGTAGGTTCTGATGGAAGTACAATCAACATTCTACTTGACCAGATTTTGCTGTATGTAAAATCTGCTCCCATAGAAGACATTAAATCTTGGTGGAGTTATATAACAGGGCAGCATCCTCGTGGTCTGAAAGCATTAGTGAGTCTTTAAAAGTGCCTATCTTGGTGTCTGTATACACCCAGGATGACTTGGCCTTTCTAATCTGCGAAGGACAAAACTTCTGTCCATCAAACCACTCAGGAATTGTACCAATTACAGGCCAAACTACAACATTTTTCATCTAATGCATAATGCATTCTTCCTGTAAATTCTAAAGGTTCTGAATACAATAAAAAACAACAGCAACAACATCTTTAGTTTTTAAGTACTAGCTACTTCGCACTATTTAACCTTATAGTTACTTTGATGATGATTCTAAAATAATATATAATTACAAGATATGGTTATTAGTATCATTTCAGAAAATAATACTCAAAATTAAGCAACCCTGAAAACAATTCTTCATTCACATCAGGAAATTACTTATATCAGATGTAATTATTTCACTCTATAAGAATCTCAAGAGTAACAGTAACTTATAGTGAAAATAAATGATCAATATATGAAGTTTTAATATTTTTTAAGACTGAAATGAAGCATATTATATATATAAAACATGTATCTATAAACCTCTCCTTCATTCTTATTTTTATATGCTTAAATGCTAAATTGCCAATAGTAGCACATAAAAAGAATCAGATTTTTTTCATTTAATTATTCTAAACTTTAATAACATTTTAAATACCTTGTCTACTGAAAAAGGATAGAAAATCTTCATCATTGACTTAAGAAAATAGTCCACAATTCTTTTACATTTCTGACAAAGGTTAAAAAGCAAAATGTGTTTGGACTATCAAGTAGTGGCTTTTGGGAATTATGCAAAGTCAAGAGGCATGGGAATGGTGAGGGATAGAGAAATAAGCTGGGTCCACTAGGACTGTAAAAAAAGAGTTCATTTTTTCAGCTCCTTCTCTGTCATTTAATATACGAAGTATTTTAAAGAACAACAGTGTTGGACTCATATAATGGTACACTTAGCTTGATTTATCATTTTCCATTGATTAGCATTAAAAGGGCAGACAAACCATTACTGAAGGCTCAATAATTACCTATCAGTAATGTATATACAGATCCACTTAATGGTACTAGTAGTTTAAGAGTGGATCTGGGGAGAGAAGAGAAGGTATCCATTGCCAGAAATCCCAGTACTTTTCCATTTCAAGAGATCTGATATAGAACACTAGATTTGGACTTCAGTGATTTGTCTTTGTTATAATAAATTTAATACACTTCTGAGCTAAACGTTTTTTCCCTGAAATTTCAGAAGTGTTATTCATCATTTAGTCAGATAAAATGTGACACATGTGTCCTGCTGGTATTTTTTTTTTTAGTTTCATTGCAATCATTTAGCTAAAAACATATTCATTGTATGTCCTGAATTATTCTAAAACAACAACAAAAAACAGTTGCCCTCAAGTCGATTCTGACTCATGGCAACCCCATGTGTGTTCAATGCTGGCAATTATCTTCCTAAGCTCTGTTATCATTTTATATAGTATAGCCAAGTTTTTCTATTCAAATGAATAGTAATTCTTAGTGAAAATGCATTAGACTTCAAAATATTCACTGCAATAAACCAATAAAGAACAGCCTAAAGAATTTAGAAATAAGTGTCAACATTTGTCACAAGGTGAATGTGACCATAATGGGGACTCTTATGTGAGAGGGCACACTCTCACCTCTGTAGGGTTAGAGACTGGCCTTTCCAAGAGAGACCACCGAGCTAGAGCAATGTGTTTAGTTTTTACTTAAATGTGACATGAGAGAAACAGAATACTATACTGCCCCTGTACCATGAAGATGAAGATCCTATTACGTTCTTTTCACCAGTTGGGGGAACATTATTCTCAGTATATTACTAATTGGAGACGACAGCTGTTGTTGATGACTTTAGAAAACCGGTGTTATACTCAAACCCTATTTACTATCCTTACAGTCTATGCAGTATCTCTTATGGATCTGCTGTCATAGATCAGAAAAAAAGAGGTCAGTTCTGGCCAGGGTAACCCAGTTTGTTTTGACTATGAAGTGGGTCTTCAAAGATGAGCAGAATTTACAAATAGAGGGGCTGGAAAAGGCATCAGAGTACAGCATGAACCAAGGTATGTAGGCATGAACATGTACGATCTGTATAGAGAACGCAAGTAATACAAATGTAATGTAATTGGGGTAAAGTTGTAGAAATTGAAGTTGAAAGGGCAAGTGGAGATCAGACAATAGAAGGCCTAGACTGAAGGGTAAAACTTCTGCATTTGATTCAATAGGTTTCCAATGAGGAAGAGACATAATTAAGATTCCTAGCAAATTAACTAGTGGCAAAATGGGTTAGAGAAATAAGATATTACAGACAGGAAGACTAGAGTATTATTATTCTAATTTAGGAAGGAACTGATAAAGACTTTAACAAAAGCAGGAGCAGCAGGAATGGAAAAGAAAAATAGAAACTGAGAACATATAACTGATATGCTAGACTCATTCATTTAACAGAAAGTGAGGAAAATCTAAGAAATTAAGTTTCTAGGTTGTTTGGAAACAGACAAAGTAAGTTGGGGAAGAAGGTGAGTTCTGTTTTAAGTCTGAAGTCCTGGAACATCCATGGGGAAATATCACACAGACAGCTGGAAATCTGAGTCTGGAGCTCAGAAGAGCACCTTTGATGATGAAGCATGAAGAAGATGAGGTCACTAGGGAATAGAGCATAAACCGGGAAGAGGGCAGAGCAAAGAGGCTCAGGTTAGCACTCGTATTTGAGGGTTGGGTACAAAAGTAATAGAACATGAAGGAGACTGAAGAAATTATTAATAGTGGCCTCTGAGAGCACAGCATGTCTACAGCAGTACGGGTATAGCCAGGTCTCTAGCCCTGAACCAGCAAGCTTTTTGGGGGTGATAGGAAGCAGAGCAGAGCCATGAATTAAAAGGCTGAGGGAAGGCCTTTTTGGCGGGGGTGGGGAAGGGGAGGAAGAAGGTAGGGAGGGAGGTGGCGTGTGTGGATAAAGGAGACTTGAACACAGCCACTTCTTTTATAAGAAAACCTGACAAACAACCTAGCCTCCAAACAGAGAAGGAAAGAAACCAGTCTGGGAGCATTTCTTCTCTTCTGAAATATGCAAGAGAGAGGGAATAGGATTGAAGCAGGATTCTAAAACAGGCTAAGGAGTTAAAAAAAAATCAAGAGCCCAAGAGCAAAGGATACTTCACCATGAGATGGCGAAAGGTAAGTTATTTCAGTAAAACAATTCCTGGAAGGAGTTCAAAACAGGAATACCAGATACTCTGTGTGGAGTTTTAAAAAAACTGTGAAATAATTCAAGCATATGTGAAGTATTTTAACAACAAAATTCTGGCGTATTAATAATGATCATGAACTTGGTCCCTCTAAGACTGATTTTTCTTCTGGACTATTTTTTGTTATTACCTGTCGGCTGAATGTATTCTGTACATGCATCCAGTAATCTTCCACTGGATCGTAACAGTATATTGCCTTGGTCAGTCCACCAGCAACATAGATCAGGTTGTTTAAGGATACTGCTGTTATACACCTTTTGGCAATTGGGATAGCTGCACGAAGTAGCCAAGAATTGGTTTCTGGATCGTAAGACTGAACCTAATAATATGTAAAAATATTTCATTAAAACTTCTATATAAAAATGCAAATTTACTTAATATAAGTCTGTTATACACAGAAGCATGTCACAAATCATAACCCCATTCATTAATTTAGAGAATTAAGGGAGGTTAGCCTGATAGTGAAATATCTGAATGAAGAAAATATGCAAAAGATATAAAAGTTTATCGCTAGCAAGCAGGACAGAGGTACAAAAAAACACAGACTGTTTTCAGGGTGAATGGCTACCAGATCTGCTTTACTTATTTCCACTGAAGTTAACAGCCTAAACTGAACACAAGTAAACCTCAATTCAGTGTACGCAGAATTATCACAAATTTTGAATAAATTAATTCTAATTGAGTAACATTTGACTATGTTAAAATTTAATTTAGAAAAAGAATGACCTGATTAACAAAATTCGTTAACCAATTAGGCATTAGCCATTTGTTTCTGAAATAAACGTGGAATTTCCTGAGATATCAAAATGGCACTATTTTTTTGTGCCAGGAGTTCAATGAACCACAGCAACCTTGATCCATTCTTATTTATACTAAAGGTTTCCTCTTTTCTCTTGCCTAAAAAGTACTTGAAAAATATGCAGAAAATGATCCAGTTTCAATCAGTGTAATTAGTTTCTCTGTCTCACCCTTTGCTAATTCACCTCCCAACTGTGTTTTGTTAGAATAATTTTTAGATTCTGCAGACTCCAGCAGTAAAAGGTACAGAACAATCTACTTAGTGCAAAATTTCAGGGGATGTTAAGATTAGTCTCATTTCAAAGAGACTGGATCATACTTTTTACAAAAAATTGTTAGCTACATGAGGGTCTCAATTCAACAACTGGAGATTCAATGTTTTCCCTCAAAAAAGTATGAAGTACCAGGTAATTTTTTAAAAAAGCCTCTAAAATGAAGAAACCTGGCTGTCTACTTGAGAAGCCTTCTGGATTACCCTCTTGTACAGATCGCTGGTAATGTCTTGAGGAGAACATGGCTTACCTTATCAGAACAAGTATTATCATCAGGTCCTCCACCAATCACAAACAGTTTGCCTACACAGCTAGTGACCGCAGGAGAACTCACTGCTTCCTTCAGGGGAGCAACTTCAGTCCATCGATTGGAAAAGGAATCGTAACATTCTACACTGCTGAGTCTGTTCTGCCCGTCGTAGCCTCCGACAACATACACCTACGTGGAAAGTACGTGGAAAAACCTTAATGGTCAAGAGTCTGAACTTCAAGCAGGGTGGTTGAAGAATTAAGGATTGCTCCCTTTTAAAAAACCCTCGATAGTTGTAATAAAACCGCAATGCACTTAGCTCCATGTCTCTCGATCTCTTCTTTATTATCACGTCCCCACCACCAAGGAGCCCTGGGAGACATTTTTCCCTCGCAGCCTCTTCAATGAAATTTAGTACCACAGATACACTGTATGTACTGTTTTTAAAAACCACTGCAAGTCCAAGGAGAGACAGAACTAGGACCCAGATTTGAAACTTACTTACTTTATCCCTCCTTTGACTACCTTTTCCGTATTAGCTCCTGGCCAGTTGTGTGCCTGCAACAGCTCCAGTTACTGAACCCCTACCAGCACACCTGGCTCTTCTCCACCTTTGGGATGTTTACATGTTCCCAATCAGGAGGAAGTTCTAGCCAGTGGTTCAGGCAGCTGACATCCTGACATTATACTTTTTGGGACAGGGTGGAGTGGCGTGTCAGTGTACTTTGGTTATAACAACTAAACTCTTGCTTTTAAACTCAGTTTTGGTAACTGGGTCTTTGTCTCGGGGCTTCAGCGTTTCTGTGCCAGTCTTACTTAGCTGGTTGCCGTCACTAATTTCTATAGGACTGGTATTATGTGCTTGCGTCCACAGTCTGGGTGCCTTAATCTCCAATATTTGCTGCCAACTCTGATGTAGTGTGTTATAAATAAGAAACATGTATGCTACTGTGATAACTGAGGTAATACCAGCTCAAGAGAAAAACTGATATAAACAAAGAAATTTTTAAAAAAATCACGTTTCGGATTAGTCCAAAGGACTAATGGACCACAACTACCACAGTGTCCACCAGACTGAGTCCAGCACAACTAGATGGTGCCCAGATACCACCACCGACTGCTCTGACAAGGATCACAGTAGAGGGTCCTGGACAGGGCTGGAGAAAAATGTAGAACAAAATTTTAACTCACAAAAAAACCCCCCCAAAACCAGATTTACTAGCCTGACAGAGACTGGAGAAATCCCGAGAGTATGGCCTCCGGACATGCTTTTAACTCAGTACTGAAGTCACTCCTGAGGCTCACCTTTCAGCCAAAGATTAGACACACCCATAAAACAAAATAAGACTAAAGGGGCACACCAGCTCAGGGGCAAGGAAGAGAAGACAGGAGGGGACAGGAAAGCTGGTAATGGGGAACCAAGGTCGAGAAGGGGAAAGCGTTGACATGTCGTGTGGCTGGCACCCAATATCACAAAACAATATGTGTACTAACCGTTCAATGAGAAACTAATTTGCTCTGTAAACCTTCATCTAAAGTACAATTGAAAAAGAAAAGAAAAAATCAAGTTTCAAAACAGATCACCATGGACTTGCTGCATCAGAATCTCCCAGGAAGCTGGAAAAAAAAACGATAGATTTGTTGTCTCCACCTAAAATCTACTGAATCTCTGAGAATGTGGACTCTCAAGCCCCACCCCAGACCTTCCAGAACCCCAGGTGACGCGTGTGCACATCAAAGTTTGAGAAGCTCTCCCCTAAAGTACACCACTCTAAGTGTTACTCAGGGGTGTTCCTTCCTTCAGCCAGAGATCCCAGTTCTAAATGACCAACAAAGGAGACTAGGCTTCAGTCTAGTATCTAGAAATCTTCAAGACAAGTCCTTAATTAAACTTTCATGTCATTCCCCTATATGTATAAATTAACTATATGCGTGAGCATCAAGGTAAAAAGGCCTCTAGATGAAGAAAATCTGAATTTTTGGCCCTAGCTTTATCACTTTCTGTGAGACCTCGGGCTAGTGACTTATCTTTTTGTGATTCAGTTTCTTTATAAACTAAGAAAGCTACATTAAAATACTCTCTAAGATTCCTTCCTGCTCTAAGATTCTATATTCTAAACTATCCTAGGTTTCTTCAACACAGAATATTTCTACATTTAAATAATTGATAAGTATTTGAATTCAGCTTATATTGTAATTTTTGGCATAATAGTTTTTATAACTTGAGAACTTGTTGTGTAAGGTAGGAATAATTCCTTTTACTTCTTGATTTAGTACTTGAAGCTTTTGAGTACCTTCAGGTCAAGCATGCTAATGCTTGTCAAATAAATTTATATTCCCGATCCAGCAATCCCACTCCTAGGAATATATCCTGGAGAAATAAGAGCCGTCACACGAATAGACATATGCACATCCATGTTCCCTGCAGCATGGTTCACAATAGCAAAAAGACAGAAACTACCTAGATGCCCATCAACAGATGAATGGATGAACAAACCATGGTACATACACACAATGGAGTACTATGCAACAATAAAGAACAATGATGAATCTGTGAAGCATCTCATAACATGGATGAAACTGGAGGACATTATGCTGAGTGAAGTAAGTCAATCACAAAAGGACAAATACTGTATAAGACTTCTACTGTAAAAACTCATGAAAAAGTTTACACACAAAAAGTAACAATCTTTGTTGGTTACAAGGGATGGGAGGAGTGGGGGGGAATACTAAATGGACAATAGGTAAGTGGTAACTTTGGTGAAGGGTAAGACAGTATACAATACTGGGGAAGCCAGTATAACTTGAACAAGGAAAGGTCATGGAAGCTCCACAGACACATCCAGACTCCCTGAGGGACTGAATTGCTGGGCAGAGGGCTGTGGGGACCATGATCTCAGGGAACATCTAGCTCAACTGGCATAACACAGTTTATAAAGACAATGTTCTGCATTCTACCTTGGTGAGTAGAGTCTGGGGTCTTAAAAGCCTGTGA